CCATGAAATATATGCATTTGACAGCTTACAAGTGATGCTGCCATAATTGTTTGTAATTTCACAGGTGGTAAGCGTTGACTTGATCCAAATTAAAAAAAAATAACAAGTTAACGATGACAAATTAAACGAATTTGCTTGATTATGAATTACACAAAAGACGAATTTGTAACCATGGTTTTTATTTTGTGACAATGTCAACGAAATACTCGTCTTGCTCAAAGAATATATCGTGAAAGATACCCAAACTTCCGAGCAGGCGATGTTTCGATAATGAACTGTGTAGATTTGAAGATTTTGGAAGTGTCGACATACCTAAACGTCGAAAAGACGTTTTTCAAAACTTTTTAAATATTGGATATATGAAAGACATTGGATTGGTCGTGGAGGTCCAATACCGTGGCCAGTAAAATTACCTGATCTAACTCCCCGCGACTTCTTCCTTTGGGGATACGTCAAAACCCAAGTGGTACGCTAATATTCCAACAACGAAAGAAAATATGAAGAATGAAACACTAGATCATGTGCAAGCCGAATTCGTAAATCGGCTTCATCTATGCATAAAGCACAGATGACAGATACATGAACACTTATAAATAAAGTTTGGTTGAGAATTATTTATCGTCTTGTTTCATGGCCTACTAATGAAAAAATAAACAAGATCTGCCATTCTTTGCATGATATTGATTAATTCCACAATATCTCAAAAACTACAACTGATAACTTTATCTATATATACTCTATCTGATTAACTAGTCAAATATGGGGTGTTCCATTTAAAATTTACGACTTTTTTACAATTGAATATAGTAAAACAGTAGTTACATTTTTGAACACTCTGTATAAGATAGACCAATAGCACTCTATTTAAGGATATCCAAGCAGCAACTATCACAAATTTTAACATTCTATCTCAATCAGTCGCAAAAAAAATCAGATTTGAAGGGCACAGTGTTAATTGTTAAAAAAAAACTTCTATTTAAAATAACTCAAAAACTAAAAGCACTAGGTATCAACATGTCTTATCAAACTCAACTTAGTTTTGTGTGTAGAATCAGAATACGCAATAAAAACTACATCATTTCATTTAAAATAACATATGTTTATTTCAGTACGTCGTTATGGAACACCCTGTATGTATAAAAGAATTTTCCGTTTGTAATGTTCTAAATTTCCTACAATTTTTGTCTAAGGAAGAACTGCGTATCTCGGCTCCTTAATGCCATTTATGTACTTTGTTGCTTACGTGGGACACCTGTATATACAGGTCTATATATATAGGTATATACATAGTCAAATGTCTGGAGTATAGCCAATAACTTCGTCATTTGTGGTTTTAAAGAAAAATGTTTGAAATGCAAGTTTCTTTATTAATCATGGCGCATTTTTTGGCTATATTTGCTTGTTTGTATTGTTCTTTGTTTCGTTGCTATGGCAACCAACATTGTTATTTTAAATGGGATGCATATGCTTTTTTTTGCACATTTTAATAGAGGATAAACTCCTCTACACGATGAACATATCAAATCATATGGTTGTATAAGAAAAAAATGGAGAAAAAATGCGTTATTTCGGCGCCTACTTTGGTTGTAATTATCTGATTTAATACTTTCAAAAAACGCATTTTTTCTCGATTTTTTTCTTATACAACCATATGATTTGATATGTTTATCGCATAGAGGGACTTATCCTCTATCAAAGTATGCAAAAAAATATGTGCATCCCATTTAAAATAACAATGTTGGTTGCCATAGCAACGAAACAAAAAACGATACAAACAAGCAAATATTGCCAAAAAATGCGCTTGATGATTAATGAATTGATTAATAAAGAAACTTGTATTTGAAACATTTTTCTTTAAAACTACAAATGGCGAAGTTATTGGCTATATTCCAGACATTTGGTACACTCTGTATATATACAGGGTGAGCTTTTTCCATGTTTAGTATGGAGATTTCGAAATCTAGTGGAGATAGAGAGACGATTAAATAGGGAAAGAATTGCAGTTTCATCAACTCAATTTAATGAGATTTTTGTCTTTTCGATGAACAAATAAACGAA